CTGTCCCAGTGTCCACAGGGTAGGAAACCTGGACTGAGACCCATGCTTGGAGGCAGCCTCTCCAGTGATGGCACTCTCAATGATGTAGCCTCAGAACTGAATGTAAGATTACAGTGGTAAATCAATGGCCTTTTAGCTCTGCTCTGCTGTTTAGTGGCGACATTTTTATTTTCTGTTTTACTTACCTGCACTTTATGTCATGTGTGCTTTTCTTTTCTGTTTTTCTTTACATTTATAGCTGATGCTGATGCATTTAAAATTCTTCTGGAGATGAAGTTGAAGAAGAGGAAGAAAAAACCTGCTTTACCAAGCACTGTCACTGAGCTTGACACTGAGGATGGTTCTAAAGTATATGTGGTTGGAACAGCTCACTTCAGTGACAGCAGCAAAAAGGATGTAGTGAAGGTAAATGCTAAATGTGAGCGCTTCAGCGGCATGTTTATAATGTAGAGTGAAGTCCAGCTCTCTGACTTGGTTCTGTGCTGTAACCTCCAGGCTCTGGTTTTTGTAGTCGGCTGTTGGAGGGCTAGAAGCACTGTGGGATGAGAGGCAGACGTTATAGTAATTTTTGATGCAATACATTGCTCTCCCATCTCCAGATATTTTTATTTGTCCTTAAACAAGAAATGCATGTACAGTGCTGGTGTTGAAAGTAGAAGCCTCACTAGTGAAGTTCACATTGCTTGCACAATACTTGGCTGTAAAACCATGCCGCCCCAAACTTGGATTCTGTTCTCAAGATGCAAATAGGTCTGAAGCCCTAGTGAAAGTAGGATCTGTTTCATGCTGCACCTCATTTGAAGTCTGCAGCTTAGAGTGGCTTTGTTATCCAGGAGCCTAGAGGGGAAGGAATCCTGTGCGAGAATCATCAGCCCTGGTTCTTACAAAGTGTATTCTAACTCAAATTGTGAATAATCACAGAGTATGGTCAAATCAATTTTGTGAATGTGAAAAGATTAATGTCCAAGTTGTTCTTCTCTGCTCCCCTCCCCAGCACCATGTGTTCTCCATCTTCCTGTCCAAAGTATCCAGTAACTAAGGCATTTTGCTGTCATCTCGCCTTAATGTTTTTCTCAATACATAGCTGTTTGGAGAAGTCTTATTTACTATTCCACTATTCTTTAAATTGAAAATCATTGTTGCAATGTGCTTTTTAAGTCTGTTTTCTCTTAAAGTATTGATATTGGCTGCATTTCTGTTTATCCCTTCTAAAGCAGTGTAAATAAATTAATCTCTTTCAGACAATACAAGAAGTGCAGCCTGATGTAGTTGTGGTGGAACTATGCCAGTACAGAGTTTCTATGTTAAAGATGGACGAAAAGACATTACTAAAAGAAGCCAAAGAAATAAATCTGGAAAAACTTCAACAAGCTATAAAGCAGGTGAGAATGATAGGTTTGTGTTAAGCACAATTTGTCAAGTTGCAACCAAAACCAGTGTTCTCACCAGCTGGGAACCTAATATTGTTGACCTAGGTGAGAGTTAGTAGCAAAGTTAGGTTTGGGTATTTTCTGTTTTCAGATGGAGCATTGAGAACTTCCTTTCCATAATGGGATTGTTTGGGCAGTTGTTGACCTTGGCAGGAATCCTCCTGCAGTTAACAGCTGCTCCATTTGCAGGACACAAGTCTAACTTCGCAATTGTAATGCTCTGCTAATATATTTAAATATGATTGTTATTCCTGCAATCTGCATCTATATCACAGCTATTTAAGGAGCACTTAATTTTGGTATTGTATGTTTAGCTGCATTCCTTCTTCATCCTAGTGTACTGCTCTTTAATTCCTATCCACTTGTCTTTTGAGTAGTTTCTAATTGGCAGTAGGCCTTGAGGGAGTTTTTTGAAAAATATGGACTGAAAAGTGTGGAATTCTATTAATATTATAACTGCTCTGGCAGTTTAACATTGGCATGCCTGGGATGTGTGTGCAAAACAAGTCATGTCCTGTATTTTATCAGTTTTACCCTGCTAGCATATATTTGAGTCATTTTAAGCTAGGCACAGTGAAACAGCACAAAGTTGACTTAAAAATGACAGGACACTTGATTAGAATGGCAGTATGTGGTCAGTAGTAAAAAGAGTTTCCAATGCCCAGCTGGATGAAGAAATTCATAGATTGTTAATTTGGTTGTGTCATAATTGTATATCGGAATTGTTTTAGTGATGTAACTGGGGAATTTCCAGGACTGTACCCCTCATAAAAATATAATATGCATCCATGCAGAAACAGTCACAGTGGCCAGGGGCTAGTCTAGGGGGAGTGTGTGTGTGTGTGTGTGTGCGCGCACAGTGTCTCAGAGCAGACTCAAAGTTAGGCAATAATGCATCTTTCCTGTTATCTTTATTTACGCCCTATCAAAGGAAAGAACATTGCAAAACAATTGCATATTGCATGAATTGCTGCATCCTTCCGTTTATTTTAGGTAAAGTGGATTGTTCTGGTGCATGTAGCCATAAATGCATGTTCACAACAGCCAAAGCAGCATAGCTGAGGGTCTTCTGACCTTGTAAACAGGCACAGAAGCCTTTGGTTTTAATATCAAAGCTAGATGCAACAGTTTTTGCTGTGCTTCTCTGTTAAGAGGAAGAGAACAATGAAAATAAAATAGCTGACTTTTTTTTCTTTGCAATGTAAGTTCATGTTGGCAGCTTTGTAATTACCACTTCCTACCAAGGCTTGAAGTGATCTTGTGTGCAGACATTAGGAAAGGCAGACTGTGCTGGCTCCAAAGCCAGAGAACAATACAAGGATTCTTCCTATTGTTACAGCTCAGTCTTAGTCTCCTTTGTCACCGTGGATAATGCAAATAAGATTTCGACTTTGTGCCTTTTAAAGAACATATTTCATAGTCTCAACCAAAAAAAAAGCCCAACCTTTTCCTCTTTGACTCCGTAGCAGTTATACTGGGAAAACCAGGAAGAACAGTCCAACTGTCTCATGCTAAATTGTAGTTCTTAGTTTTTCTCTAATAAAAATCAAACCCGTTGGTAAGGTGCTTGGTTATGCTTTAATTGCTTGTAATTAAAACATGCATTTAGGCCCAAAAGTTACAATAAAAGTCAAAACTGCTTGCAATGTTCATCCTTGAGTTAGGAAGTCAAGGGGAAAACTGTCTTTTTATAATCAGTTACATAATATTAAGCAGTAAAATTGCATTTCATTGCTCTTAATTAAAGCTGGAAACTGAGCAGAGTGTTAACACGAAACATACACACTTGCAATGAGTCACTGATATCCACAGCTTATCAAGAAACTGCTGCGGGTTAAAAACAGGCTTCCTCTAGCCCCTTCTCGAAATTCAGAACCCTTTGTTGTTTGCACAGAAGTATCTTTTTGCTTTCTGTTAAGCAAAGCAACACAGTGCAGACTAGTATCTAGCTCAAATGTGGATAACTTGAAGATGCACAGTAACAGCTTAAACCAAACTGGTAAGATTGGTTTTGTCTGATCTTCTCCCGTGGCTTCCTGGTTCCACTGTCCCTTCTTTGTCCATACCATGGCCCTGTGTCAGTCTGAACAGGGCTTGTGTGTCATCCCCCTGTGGCTGTAAGATTGATAGTCCTAACACAGAGGACAAGTTGAGAAACCTTTCTCTGGGGCAGAAGAGAAAGTGGATTGTTGACAGCAAAATCTTAGCTCAACCTCACTCTCTTTAACCTTCTCTTTTTGTCTTAAGTTACTTCTGGAGGAGTATATTGTAATGTTGGTTCTTTTAGCACTCATGGCTAGTGAAAAAGCTCTCGTTTTGCACTGTGTGTAGGTTACCCACAGGGTTATCCTGGTAAATAAAATGGATATAATGTAGATGATGAGTAGGTCCATATGAGCAGAAGCAGGCTGCTGTTCACTTGCTACATTCACTTCTGCTTTTAAGTCTAACCTCCAGTGTGCTTGCAGCAGTAGGAAATCCAGTTTCAGGCTCCAGGTGTCAAGGCTGTGCTGGCTTCTTTCATGGGAACTAGGATTTTTAAAAGAAGAATTGTGGATGAAAGTACAGATAGTTTGTTTCTGTAGTGAGTGGTGGATCTGTGGCTTATGAAGTTGGAGCAGCTCCAGTGCCCCCTCCATAGGCTCTGTTCCCATACATAATATAAGTGTTCCTGAGCCTAGTTCAGTGGATGATTTATCTGATTCAGAAGCTCTCTGGCTGCTGCCAAATAGCAGATGTGTGGCGAAAGGCCTTTGAACTTAGAGTTGTACTTGTCTTGGGTATTCCTCTCTCTCGTCCTTTTCACTGTCTCCCATGCTAGTCATGGTGTCTGAGTATGTCTTCCTCAGTCATCCTTCCCCAAGCCTCATGAGTATTTCATATGTTTAATCTCTTCTCATATGTTTGGTATTTCTTTGCACATTTTCTAGTTTAATTATCTTGTTTTCAAGGCAGGAGTTATCTCCCTTAGTCTTCTTGCTTTCTGACTTCTGCTGAACACTGGACTGGGTGTTTTGCTTTCTCTTTCCTGAGCCTGATAGCTTTGCATCCCTCTGCAGCGAAATTTTGTTTGACTTGTACATTGCTTTGTGTTAATGGCTGTTGCATCTAACCTCTGAAATTATTGTCAGCCACTCAGGATTTAGTGTTCTGTTGTGGTCAGCTTTCCTTTATCTAACACCGAATGATGTGATATTGATAATAACTTCCTTTACTGTTTTGCTGCCATCATTTTGCTCTTTATCCCCAACAGTATCTATTTGACCAGTTGTTGCTGGTTGTGGCACATACAGCTGTATGTCACCTTTTATCTCCTTGATGCTAAACAAATATGACAGGCACCGAGTTTTATGCAGGTTAAGAGCACAGCTGACTCGGATGCACTTTTGTGTCCCTCTGTTAGGCAGCAGGATAAATCTTCCTGTCACAGTGTTAAAATGCAACTGCAAGTGCATCAATCCTGAAGGGGAGATCAGCCAGCAAATAACCTCAGTCTGCATTATCCTACTTTTTTTTTTTGTGTGTGTGTGTCTTCTCTGCACTTGTGGAAGCTCTTGTTTCCAGGTGCTTTAGTTGGTTCTCAGGGATGCTGAAAACATGTTTTCTCACTGCCTTCTTTGTTCCTCAGCTCTCCTCGGCAGCCCAGCACCTAAATTCCTGCCATGCTTGCTAGTTTGTAGTATAATAAAGCAGGTAGTCAACTGGTTTTGAAAATAGCCCCTCTCTTTTGCCATTTCTGGTTCTCAGTGACTCTTGAGTCCATTTAACTGCAGAAACTGCCTACAGCCTTTGTAGAGGTCACACATGCATTGGTTCTGGCACAGGGTGGGTCATTTGAGCAAGAAATAGAGACCAGAACCTTTCTCTGGTAACTTCCAGCAGTTATATTAACTTGGACTGTCCCATGTAGCATCATTTTCAGTTGCATGAAGCCGGTGATATAGCAGGAAATTAAGTGAAGGGGGAACACCCCTTTTGGTAGTGTCACCAGTGTTAGCTGATGCCAAATTGGAGGAGATTATGTAACCGAGGTACAGGTTATGCTTTGGGACGGATAATGTTCATTCACTGAGTCTTAGTCATAAAAGTAACTTGTTGAGGACAACCAGAGCTGGAGGGAAGGGACAGCTCTGAATGGGTATGAGATGTTTTTTCATTCTTTTCATAAAAGGTCAGGGAAGGCATAAATATACATAGGAGAGTTTTTACTTTTTAAAAAGAAGTTTTGATTTTAAGTCTGTTCAGAAAGTACTTGAGGGCTTTCAGTCTGCTTGTGGGAGTGAGTCATGCTCAGAACTCTGAGGCCTTCTCTAATGTCTTATGTACAATTTCTTGCACAATGCTAGATTCTCTGTATTTCTGCATCTATTAATGTAACCAATCCTCAGCTTAGTGTTTTCCAGGATTGTGGATGTGTCCATGACCACTGGCCGTGCCCTTCAGTATCTGTGTGACATGTTATTCACTGTACATTCAGCGGAATATACTCTTGTGGTCACTTTTTGTTGTATCCAGATCAAGAAAAATTAAATGCACAGTATGAACTTCTATGCCCTTAAGTTATTCAGTCACTTTCTTCTAGCAGATGTAGTAAATATAGACTGAAATAAGTCTGGCTGCCCTTGTTCCTTTGCTGTACTCTGCCATATCCTTGTTGAAGGGAGAATACTTTGGCAGCACACTGAAGCAAACTGATAAAAACTGGGATACGAGCTGAATTGATCAGTGAATTGGCTCCAAAATGTAGCTGCAGTGCTGCTTCTTCATGAAAATAACTAGTGTTTTTTCATTACTATGAACAGTTCATTCTTGAAATTCCACACAGCTTCTTGGTTTCTTTTTTGTTTCTGTTTTTCTCCCTCTTCTGCCAGAATGGAGTCATGTCTGGATTGATGCAAATGCTGCTTCTGAAGGTTTCTGCTCACATCACAGATCAGCTGGGAATGGCCCCAGGAGGAGAATTCAGGGAGGCTTTTAAAGAGGTGAGAACTTGAAATGTCTTTTCTGAGGTCAGACAACTGGCCTTTTGCTCTCAGAGTCGAACTGAATAAAATCACTTTGTTACTGACTAGATCAGAGCACTCTGGCCATACATTTGCTGAAGCCAGTGTAGTAGTAAGAATCACTTTCAGCTTCAAAGTGTACTCAAAAGTACAGAACTTTGTAGCCCTAAGCGGTACGAAAGCAACTCCAAAAAAAAGGCTTCAAACAATAAGGGGTTTCCCTGAAGATATTTCTGATGGCACTTGTTGTCATTTTATTAATAATTTAGTTCATTTTAAATAATTGGTTTTGAATTCTGGATATCTATGCTGGTCCCACTGTTGGTGGTGTCAGGATTTCAGGCTGTGAAAACCAGCTCTAAAACTTTAATAAGATCTAACACATTCATCTAGAAGATGGGGGAAGTGACTATCTGACTGGTCTGTTGGTCCTGTCTGGTCTTTTTAACGTTCCCTTTTGTACTACTTCTGGTCTTAATACCTGGAACTAAATAGTAGCTGTATTATCACACTACTCTTTATTTTCCCTGTATGTATCCACCTTGCAGAATGTATCTTGCTATTATTATGTAAGTTATGTACTAGTAAGGAACTCTGACCTAACATTGCTGTTAAAGAATCTGGAATAATTTGGTGTATTTACCCCTAAGAGTAAGCCCTGAAAAAGTTTTCTTTTTTCCCTGAGTATTCTGGGCCAAAATGAAACATTTTAAGTGTATCTCATTTTAAGTGGGATAGCAAAAAAATTTTCTCTGTCCTATTCTAAAGTGGCGGCTTGAAATTTTTAAACAACTATGCAGAGGAAAGAATTTTCTAGAAATTCTGTGCTGTGTTAAAATTTGTTAGTGTGAGCTACAGCCAAGCCTTGCCTCACATTATCATGTGGTATCTGGCATCAGTTCATGTGTCGTAAGCTCTTTCTTGAATATATTTTACCATGACAAACTGGAAGATTAATGATCCTGGCAAATCCTAGGTAAAAGCAATATGATCACAGTCATTTTACCTCAGACTTTATTCAGCCCCAGATATACATTGAGCCTCATTGTTCACCTTATGTAGTAATAAGCAGAACTTTCTGCTTCAGTAAAAGTAACCTAAGAGTGTGGCATTACAGCTTAATGGTTTTTACTGTAATACGTACTGCATCATGTAGCTGATTTATTCCTTTATGAAGTAATGTTTTGTAAATGTTACTTACTGCAAAGTCAAAACATTTTTATGTTGAAGAATGACACCACTTGCTCTTTTTTAAGATACCCTGTATAACACAAACAAATGTTAATGTTCCCTTAATAAGGGTGTACTGTGCTGCAGTATGAAATGTTGACTAGTGATTTGTGTCTTCTCTTTCAGGCTAGTAAAGTACCTTTCTGTAAATTCCATCTCGGTGACCGACCCATCCCTGTTACATTTAAAAGAGCAATTGCTGCACTTTCCTTCTGGCAAAAAGTCAAGCTTGCTTGGTGCCTTTGCTTCTTATCTGACCCAATCAGGTATGGTTAAACATCCCATAAGTTTATTGAAGTGAATTTTTCAGTTCTTCAGTTTGACTTTAGTACCCAGGGTACTAAAGGGGTAGTGAGGGTACCTGGCCTGGTGCAATGAAATTTGAAGTTATTAAGAAAGGTAAATATACAAGCTACCCCACAGTAACATGTGTTTTTGAAAAGAAAGCTACTTTTCTGGTCTCCTTCCAGCTCTCTTTTTAATTGTCTTTTGATGCATTACTTCCAGGTGAAGTGAAAGATTTGGTGCTGGAGAGTTCCTAGTGTACTTATAAAAAACTTTAATTCTTTTAATGCTGAAAATAAAATCTTCCTCACTACTGTGTGTGGTTATCATAAATAGAAGAGAGTAAACACCTAAGTATGCTAATTTATTTATATGTCCTTAAGATTTCCAAAGGTCTTGGGCCTTCTGTGCTAATTCATGTCTGGATCCAAGGCAGCTTGAGAACTGAATCTGCTGTCAGAGCAGATTCTTGGAACAAGAGAAGATGCTAAGAGTCGACATGTTGTCCACAGACTTTAAATGATTATTGCATTTACAAAAGCACATTGTTAGGAACTCTTGCTTTACAGTAATGTGTTTTGGACAGCTATTTTCTTGCTCAGTTTGATTTCCCCTGCCCTTCAGAGACATCCCTGTGCCAAGTTTGCATGTTCTCTCCATAAGTAGGTATGTGTAGCTTGCTTGAACTGGGTGAGAACACATGCACAGCTGCCCTTCTAAATTCAGTCTGCTCCTCCCAGACATGCAGGGGTGGCAGATGTGCCAGAAATGGATTCTCTGTGCACTTGGTCCCTGAATCTCAGTGCCTCTCTCATACCCTGTGACTGGAACTCTGCACAGCTCATGCAGTGATAGATGGCATTTTTTATAGGCTTTTAAAATTGGGCCAGAACTCAAACTGTAGTTGTATCAATCAAACCTTCTGTTTTCCAGTTTTAGCATTTACTTAATTGTCGGTTCCTGTAAATACTTGCTGTTAACATTAATCTCTAAGATGAGTTTGACCCTCTTTCAAGCTATTAACTAGAGTTCATGCACAAAGTAAGTTTTCATACCAGTCTAGTAGCAGTATGAAACTTACTTGCAGGCTTTGGGGGGGCATTGGAGGATATATTTCTGTGCATTTTCTCCCATTCTTTATCCATCCTAAGAAAACTTAGGTTTTCAACTGCACTGTTAAGATAATTATGGTATATGCACAGTAGCTTCCCACTGAAGCTTGGCCATAACATCTCAGTTGTCATACAGTTGATTTTTAAACAGAGCATGTGGATAAGTGTTGAAAAGGAAAGGTATTTATAATTGGGAGGTTGTGGAGGGAGGGGATGTTGTGTACCCAGCCATCAACATGAGGTTCTATGAAAAATGGAGTAATAATGCTGCATCAAAATTTTGTCAGTCTGTTGATGTTTCTGTGATGTGTTGAAAGCTAGCAATGCATTTGGGTCGCCCTGTTGACATTTGTAGTGTCCTTTTCATCTTGGAAACTAAAGGAAGCATGTTTGACTTCATTCCTCAGTAGACAGTGATGCACAAACAAATAATTCCCTTGCTGCAAACTGTGACTGTACCACAGCTACGGGTGCAAACACAAGGTTTGCAGCACTTATAAAAAATACAAAAGCTCATTACATTTATTCCTGCAGTTCTTGTTTTTCACTTGCTGCCCATTTTCTATTCTTCTGTTCTGGGAACTGGTTTATAACGTTGACTTCCCTGCTGAAGACCTGTGATTGACACTAGGAACCTGGCAGATCTCTTTCCATCCCCTCAGACTATGCCTTACGCTGTGTTTGTTTTTTTGTTTCTTAAGTAGAACCTGTGTGTGTTCAATGATAGATCTGCTTCCTCAGGAGTGCTCTGTGTTGGCTCTTCTAAGCTTATTGATACACACTGAAAGTGAGGCACCCTGATAACTGTTGCCTCTGAAGCCCTAGTACTTTTGCTGACCTGGTGTCAGCTTTAAAAGTGAGAAGGGGGAAAATCCAGTTGAACTGGCTAAAGGCAAGTGACCTCTCTATTTTCCCTTTCCCTCACTTCAGAGGCATTGTTAGGTATCCAGTTTTACAGGTTTATGGAGTTTGTTTCCTTTTGGAAAGGAAACCTGGGTGAGAGAACTGTAGAGCATGTGTTTAGGTGAATAATATGTATAATGCCCAATTGTTTTTATTCATTGATTTGTCTGTGTTGGCCTTTAAAAGCATAACAGATACTGAGCCTTTCTTTCAGTAAAGATGATGTGGAGAAATGCAAACAGAAGGATTTACTGGAGCAGATGATGGCAGAAATGATCGGAGAATTCCCTGATCTTCATCGAACGATTGTCTCGGAACGAGATATTTACTTGACCTACATGCTGAAGCAAGCAGCCAAGCAGATAGAACTACCTCGAGCTTCAGAAGGTAGTTGTTTTAAAGCAAGATGTTCTTTGTGTACTGGTCCGGAGTTCAGTTCTCAGGAAACGTGGGATGTTCTGTTCATGAGTGCCACATGTCACATAAGATACAGTGCTTAAAAAGTTAAAAAGAGATATTACTCTTCTGTTGAAAACACCTAGAGCAGTAGGCTCCAAATTATGATTCTTGTTGTGCTATTTAAAACTGGAAAATACTCAGTCTGACAAGTTTTTCCGAAGGCAGTGATCCAGTATGACAGCACAGCATGGAACAGTCTTCTGTCTCGCTTCTCCCTGTTATCTCACCACAGTCATTGTCATCAGTAGCTGCTCAGGAACTCAGGAATTTCTTGCTAAACTGATTTTCTCTGATTTCAGTACTCATCATACCTTTGTTTCTTATAAATTGGGCTGCTAGGAACCCTGATGGTGTGGCAGTAATAAACGTGGGACCGCGTGTTTGTGCGAGGTATAAGCATAGTGAATAATTGCATTTCTCTAACCTGTGGAAGTATTCTGCTGCCATATGTGGTCTGCACACCCTTCCTATGGACAAGCAGACTGAAGTATGGGTTGCCTCTTATTAAATATCTTAAGAAGGTACTGTTCGTCATCACATCAGTGCAGAACTTCTGTTGTGGTCGCAGCTCTGATTTAGAGCAACGTTAGAATAGACTGAGAAAAAGCAAGTCCAAAGAAATGATTTTGAAAATGTGTTATAGTTCTAGTGTTTTCCATGCAGTTTTGTTTGGGTTTGAGGGTAGCTGCCCTTCACATTTTTGCATTTTTTTCTGCGTATTTAAAGCAAGACAGTGGAACTTACATTTTCTATTTATGTACTATGTATAATTTTCCCCATGGAAAGCAGCCTGATTATTATTACTTTGAAAGTTTTCTGTGAATTATTTTTATTGTGGCATGGTGCTACTTTTTGAATTGAAGAAGAGGTAATCCCAGAACTTCCAGGAACATTTTGGTCTCCACTGGGTCTTAGGAAATTTGGATGGCAGATGGGAGGTGAGGGTGAGAGCTGGCGTGTGGTGCAGTGGTCTGATGGTGACTGGCTAGCTGCTGCACAGGGTTGGTCTGACCTTTGGCATTGCTGAGGCCAGGCCTGCAGCAGTAAACCTCACAGGGATAGGTGTGGCCTCAAGGCTGTTCTCCAACTGTTAGCCCAGTAATTGTCACAATTTGGATGTGTGCCAGCTGCCACTGCCCAGAGTGGTGGAGAAAGCTCTCTCTTCAAGACGTAGCAAAGACCAGGGCTGTTCCTGACAAGCAGTACAGAAACATGGCCTACACAGAGAAGGAAAGAAATTAATTTAGGTTGCATCTGCTGAAACTTTCACTCTTGAGGCTGGAGTATGAGCATTGGCAACGTCTGTTTGCTGGGACATGATTCCTGACAGTCCAGAAACCATGCTGATTTTTTCAGACTTTCAACATAAGAGTCAGTAGGTGAGATGAGTATGTAACAGGGTTTTAATACCTCGTAGTAAGAGACCCTACATCTTGGAAAAATCAGTTTTGTAACCTCACACATTGCCTATTTATTTATCGCTTGAAATGAGTTCTTTTACTGATGTGTTCCATTTTCTCCATCTCACTTTCTCAGCTGAACCTAGAAGATACATCCCAGCTGTTGTGGTTGGTGTTGTTGGAATGGGGCATGTACCTGGAATTGAGAAGAACTGGAATTCTGACTTAAACATACAGGAAATAATGAGGTAACAATTGTCCTTTTCCACATGTCGATGTAACAGCTTCTCTTGCTAAGAGACAGCAGTAACTTGTTTCTTTGGAGGTTTTTTTGATTGGTTGTCACAGCTTGAAGAAACATCACTACTGTCAGCTCACTGACTTGCTGCCCAGTGCTTGCAGATATTGCTTACAGCAAAGGAAAAGAAAATGTCAAAGGAAAAATATTGTTGAATATGGAGGGAAGATGAGAATATGCCCTTGTCTAGAAAGAAAATTCATTGATCTTCATTTAAATCTTTTAAAACGAGAATTCACATGAGGGTTGTAGAAGATCATGGATACAAAACTAGACTTCCAGTCTAGCTTGGGTAAATATAAACTTGGATTTAAAGCTTTTGTTGTGCCAGGACACTGCTGGCTCTGGTAAGCTTAGTGTCACAGTTGCTTGTAGCCTCTTTTTAACTGTATATGTGAGTAATGACTTGGTTTAATGTGAATGCCTAAATATGGGCTGATTGAAGCCATGAATACAGTGAACTCTTGCTCCAGAGTATCTATTAAAATAATGTATGTGCTTCATAAAAGACAGATTTGAAGAACCAGAATATTCAGACTCTGTGTATCCTATAAAACCACAAAGCTCAGGACTTCAGAAATACAGGAGGGATTATAGTATGACCTGGTAGTATTGGTATGTGGTGGTTTAGGATAATAGAGCCTTTCAGATATTGACACTTTATCTTACCACATCTATTTACTGTGTTTATGTAAGAACCTCACCCATCTCTTCAGAGGCTATGAAAACCAGAAAAGACTGTGACCTGCTTAAATGGTGTATTCAGGCATCTAAAATACGATTTAGGAAGACTTTTTTTTGTCTGGATCCAAGAAGGCAATGTACAGAAGCTCTGCCTGGCCATGTATAAGTCTCACCTGAAGTCACAAACTAGATGTCCATATTCCTTTGCACCCTCACAAATAACCTCTAAAATGAGGTTGTCCAAATCCATGCAGTTGTGTAGTTGATGTTGGTTCTGTCACTGTTACAGAACTGAATAGCCTGGAGCCTGATTACGTCTTTAGGTTTACATAGATGGTCTTTATCATCAAAGTTTAGGCTCTGACTTGATTGTCTCTTCCATGCCAGTGCCATAACTGAATGGAAGGGTTACAAGTATCTTTCACAAGACATTAGTGTAGCATTGACTTGACTTTCTAAAATTGTATGAAGCAAATGATATTTGTAAGATTGCTATATTGGAGACTCATTTCTTGTTTTAAACTTTTTTACCCCCATGCTGTTGCACTGCAGGTACAGCGCAGAGTTAGGGCTTTCTTTTGTGTATTAGTGGTTGTCACTGCCCTAAGTAGAAAAGTTTGTAAGACTTTTACAGGTATTTAGTTAGATTTTACAAGTTGCAAAGTGAACTTGGAAATTGTCTGAATAAAAACATATACATTTATCAGTTTGTTCCAGTTTTTAAGTTCATGCATTGAACCTGTCTCTGAGCAGACCTTACTGTTAGTTATGAATTGATTTTCTTGAAGTGCAGCAATGGATTAGAATTGAGAAAGAATAGGTAGAGGAGCATGTAAGAAGGCATAAAGAGATGCCTTTACACTATACTTTTTTCAATACATATGCTTTATTAAAACTCTTTCTGTATATTGCCTTAATGTGCAAAACCTTAACAGCAGTAACTCTTCCCTGGTTTGAGCACATGGATCTAAACCCAGTCCGGTTGTATCCTAAGCTTGGCACATCTGACCTGGTTTGGGAGCACCCATAATGTTTTTACTGTTGTAACCTGTTTCCTCTGAATACATTAGAAACATTTTCTAGATATAAATAAATGGTAACCTGTGGCTTCTTTGAAATGACATGTAGAGACCTGCGAGTCGCCTGTGAGGATTTTTGAGTTGCAGGGAGTCATGCTGTGGGTGCAGGGCCAGCTGAGCTGCTGCAGAGCATGTTACTGAGGGTGCAGGGCTGTGTGTACATGTGGCTGTGCTCTCAAAGCCAGCCTGATTGTGCAGGTGTGATATTAACTGTTTGCTTCATACACTGTTAGTAGGACTGCTTGAAGGCAGGGGTAGAGCTGGTGTGTTGCCATCTGCCCTCCTGGTTCCAGGTGGCCAGTGCAAAGGCTTCCAGGTGGCTCTGTGAAGATCTCAACGCCAGCAATACCTGCCAGACTGGAGACAGCTTCATGTGAAGCATCTCTGATTTGTCAGTACTATCTTCTGCAGAGCTCCATAGGCCAAGAGCACTGCAGAGGCTCAGTGTCCACACACTCACACCAGGAGCTGCAGGTGGGCTGGTCAGCCTGCCTGGCATCCAGGGTACACCTTGCCAGAATATCACTCTGAGGCTGTGCAGGGCCCAGCCTAGCCCCAGACCTTCTGGCTGCACAAACCTGACCAGGTCCTGAAATGTGTTATCCAAGCTCTGTTTTCCTTCATAACCCTGAATGACAGTAAGTTGGCTGTACAGGTGTTGGACTCAGGCTGTGTCCTGTGTTTCTTCTGACTTTTGTCTCTGTGCAGAGATCTGCATAGTAATGTTACAAACAGTTCAACAAACAATAGTCACTTCTAGTATTCTTCAAGAAGTCTTGATACTGACCTAGTTATTTTGGTAGGGTGATGGACAAGTCAAGGTTCTTAGCCATCGAGCATCTTAGCATTGTACATAAGTAGAAAAGACTTTATTAGTGACATTTTTATGACTGTTGTAATTTAATTTGTATGTAGCCCTTGAACATGAAAGAATACATTGTTCATTCATGATGCATGTTACCTGACAGTTTCCTGCACTATAAGGTGGTAGTGGAGAACAGATCCTTCTTTTGGTTGGAAAATGCTTGCTGGTTCCAGCTATGCAGATATTAATATTGCCTTTTATCTCTTGTTTCAGTGTGCCTCCTCCATCAGCTTCAAGTAAGATTTTCAGATTTGTCTTAAAAGCAACAGTTTTTGGACTGATGGGCTATGGCTGCTACCGAATAGGTCACAGGACAGTTCAGTTTATTCTCTCAATGCCAGCAGCACAGAGCTGTCTTCAGAGGCTGACGGAGTTGTCTCTGCATTGAACATGGAGTGGAGGCACTTTGTGAAGAAGGTGGCCAAAAAAAAGGGTGATAGAGGCAACACATGTGAACTGGACTGAAAGAAGATGAGGATTCTAGTCAGAGTTGATTGCTGAGCAATGCTAAATTGCTATATCATAAAAGATGTGATACTAAAGTTACACCAGCTATGATCTAATTAATAGTTTTGATTCCTGGCGAGTGTGTTGCATGAAACTACATGATTCCAGACTGAGGTAAAATAAACATGTATGCAAATATATATATTATATATGCATGCTGTATATATAATATATATATTACTGATGTAGTACAGGCAGCTTAAAGAGTGTGTGTTCATGACTTCTGTCCCAGAGGGACAGAACAGCACCAAGGAACCTAATCAGCTGCTTCTCCTCCGCAGTTCAGGGACACTTGTCTTGAGTGATTCTTTGTTTTTTCCTTAGGTATAATAATGCCAAGTGGTCATTTCTGGTGCCAGACACTTTTACACATAATTTAGAAGGACATCTTCTCAATGTGTGTTTTATACCTAAAACATTTAGGCTTTTTTAAACTTAAGAGCTTTCCAGAGATTTCAGAACTGTACCGGCTGTCATACGTACACTGCTCAAATTTTTTACAAGCCTTACTGAAGAACAGGAACGTTGCCTTTAGATTGCATCCCTTGTTAACACCCACCACCAGTCAAATTGTGCTTCTCCTGCATAGAGAAGGTATAGCCATCCCATCAGAATGCAATGTGGTTTGTGTCAGATGTTTACAGGACACTGTGTTCCTTTAGATTAGTTTATTTAAACTGTATTATTTAGCCAAATCCTGCTGGATTCAGTATTGTAAATTTAAGAGACTAGAACTACTGTACAATCTACTTTTCTTTCTCAGACCTTTCATATTTGGGATAAGAAATCTGGAATTGATAGTACCTGCCCCTCATTTTTGATACATGAAAATATTTTATTTATCAATATAACTTCTCAGTGGATGAATATTTTAATCTATTTAATAAAAGAAGCAGCATTTGATTTAGTTTTTCAAACTAGCTGTAGCATTTTATTTGGATTACTTGCTATTTATACATGGAATTTATGGGTACTACCGACTGCTGTTTTTATCTTTCGTAATTATCCAGAACAGTCATCCATCATCAGTGTATTTTTTCTCTATTTTTTTTGGTCCTAAGTTCGTATTTCATAGGAATTTTTTTGTACCCTCCCTTTATACAGAATTGTCAATGATTGTAAAGTGCCCTCTGCAATCAGCTAGTCCCAGGTCAACAATACAGATAACATTGTCATATCAAAGTTCTAACCTTATGTATTTGAATGGAAGAGTCCCATTTGCTCCTCAGGCTCATACACAGTTGTTCAGCACTTAAAGTGAACTTTTTATCTGTATTCATTTCTTTTGGGAATTAAAGATGGGAATCAATGTGTGAGGCAGGAGGAGGAAAAGGTGATGTTGTGTTTTGTGTTTGTTGTTTTCAGTTGGTTCAATAAAATCAACAGTCCACTTTTAGTAGGATATATTTCCAAAGCCTTGTGTTGGAAACGATTCTGTACAGTCTTTTGTTTGCTGAAAGTATGTACATGTATCTTCTGTGCAGTGTTGTCTCTCTTGAGTTTTTAAAGTGAAGTTAAGGGTCTGATGCTCTCTGTGATGGCATTGACTTTGCTGGGAGCTGGTCTGTCCATGCAACCTGATGCTTTTCTGCCTTGCACTTTGAAAATTTTATGAGTTTCAGTGCAGCAAATTATTTAAGTGCATGTTTCTCTTTGAACTTACTGAATCTAACATGATCCTGCAGAGCTCTTAAGATGATGCCAGGTGCTTTTCTGGGTCTGGGCCTTACAGCTGTGCAGGGAATAAACCTTAGCAAATGAGTGACAGCAATTCACTCTTCCTGGACACAAATTGTAAATGATAATACAGAATACAGTGGGGGCAGGTCCTTTCATTTTCCACTATCAGTGCTTAAGATACCACCAGCCATCTCCAGCAAGAGGAAAAGCAGCATTTGTAACCAATCTATAGAAGAGTAGAGTGACTGCCTGAATTTTCATTCCTGGTGGTTGTTTTTTTTTTAAAAAGGTTTAATGTATTGTTTACAATTAAGCAGTCCTATTTGAATAGTTCTATTACATTCTATGTGCATTTTTAAAAGAGGAAAGCAAAAGCTTAAGCTCAGTCTTCTCCTGGCTTTACTGACATACCAAAACATGGTTGTTCTTTTGAGACTTTTTAGCTGGTAGAATTCAATATATTGATATTTTGCTCTAAGTTATCTACAGATTTTCAAAGTATCTGCAGGTATTTGAAAAGCTTCTGTAGGTCTTTGATATCTGTGCTCAGGTAATTTTACACAAAGGAAAACAAATCTAAGGTAAATTTTAGATAGGAGCCTTAAATTTGGGTGGGACTAATGCTAAATGATTGTCATGGAGCATTCTTGCAGACTTCATGTTTTATGCTTTTTTAGCCAGAAGTGATTACTGTCTAAGTTGTCTGTTTGTTACTCAGTCACTCTCTCCAGTCAGTACCTTAAGTCTATCGTTTCAATCTTTTGTTTTTTTATGAAGCATATCAGCAAATTCTTCAAGGAGTCTGAGTGACTGGAGAATTTGCAGTTTTATCTTCCCACTATTGCAGATTGGCAGGTCCTGTGCCTGCAGCTGTTTACTCAGTGGCACTGGAAAGTGATGAATTTGCAGAACTTAACAATTCTATGAATACGTACACAAATCTCGATGTTGTATATTCCATGTGTTGTACTGTTTATGTAACATGACCAGTGTTTTAGGTCCATTCTTTTCTGTTCCAGTCAGTCCTTTCAGTGTTAACAGCATCCTGTAAAATTTAAATACATGTTGAATTGTCCCAGCCCCACCTCAACCTTATGAAGCCATACTGTATTGTTTTGATGACATGTACATCTGTTTTATGCATTTGTACATGTGATGTAAATTTGAAGTATTTTTAACAATGTGTGCCTTTACTCTAAAGTGATTTAAAGTAAACAGCAGTATGTTCTATTATATAAAAAAATAAAATATTTTAACCACCATTCCTGTTGAAAGCATTTATTTTCCTTGTTAACCAGTATTTTTGAGAGCAAGCACTGGTTAGCTAGATCTAGTACAGGATAATTTCAGCATCTAACACATTTTTGAGAGAAACATTAGTTGAAGTCAGTACCTCCTGCTGAGGGGCATCTGAGTGTAATGCTGAAGTAGGGAAACTAGTTTGCCTGCCTACCTACCACATGTAATTGGTTAAGGGAGGAAAGGATGAGTTTCGTTGCCCTCCTGAACGTGCAGGGAGACTGACTGCTCAACGTGAGTACTTAAATTCAGAGTCTAGAGTTAGGCATGCTGAGTTTTGTTGTTGTTGCTTTTCTTTTAATGTCTCCGGTGCTCAGTCTGTGCAAGGAGCTGATGGCCTTAGTCCCAGTCCAGCAAAGTGCTCCAACACTGGCCTAACATCAGGCACAGTCAGTTGTGCTTAAAGTGCTGTCCTCTGCGTGGGGATTAAAGACCCTTTAAGTGGAAAAGGTGTTGTATTAGTGGCAAAATAGTTGTTAATCTTTCCAATTAAGCTAGGTAAATCAATATGACCATTACTTGAAAAAATATTAATACAAAGACCACGTATTCATACTGACAGTAAGTATCTATGATAAACTGTATTCCATACAGGTACTGTACCACCTGAGTAGTCTGCTGTTTGTGCCCTTTGTCAATCAGTGGTCCATACCTTTTGATTGTTTGTATGTAAAGCAGAGTGCAGCCCTGCTTTCCTTGATCCTGAGACAAAGTTCCCTTCGGCTGCACTTGGAGCTATGTCTGCAAGGAACTGCTGGGTAAGCCATTTAGGTGGAACTGAAAACTTTCAATGCTGTAGTCAAATGCTGGGATTTGGGGCTGCCAACCCTCGGGGCTGGCAGACCAGACACTGCACAGCATGTGGCTGTGGAGCAGTGCTGGGTCAGGCTCGGTGTGCACCTCAGGCACACAGCCTGGAGCTGCCTGCTGTCAGAGGGTATTGCTCACCAGCATCACCTGCACACTGCTGGCCCAGGTCATGTTCATGAGGTGTATACCTATTCCTATACTGAGTACTGAACAACATTTTAAACTGACTGTTTGAGGTGGGTTAAAATTGCTGGGATTTTCACTGGAAGCTGTGTGTATTGTAAAACATCTAAAAGGCACTGAGAAATATGTCAAGATATCTCGCGGTGCCAGGCAGTGGGAACTACACATGGAAAAGAAACAGCACATTGTCACTTCTGTACCTCTTAAGATACTCATGTACATACTTTCCTGTTTCTTTCTAAAACTGAAATAAACTTTAATTTTGGACTTGAGTGTTTCAAGATTGACATTATTGTAAGATGGGGGGGTTTTAAATATTTGCAGGGTCACTATTCTGGCCCTGATGGACAGACTTCAGCATGGTGCAAGAGCCCTTGCTGTAGGCTGTGGAAATTCACATGGAAGACATCAAATAGCTCCAAAGATAAAAATAAACTGGTCTACTGACTGTTCAGGTGAAAAAATGTCCCAGCTGTGCATATCCCCACAGCAGCAGGTCTAGTGTGTCTGCTTATATACAATGAGAGGCCAGGAGTAGCTGAAGCAGCTGTCCTGGTCAGCACGTCCCAGCCACAAAAGCCAGCAGGGGGTTGTCTGATTATCTATCCCCTTCTCACTTGCCTTCTGCCTGCTGCACAGAATGAATCTTTCTATACTCTGGGGAGGCAACAGCAGCAAACGTCGGGCTAGTCTGACCCTCACTTCCAGTAG